CGGGACATAAGAAATGCGTGGATACCATACAGGGACTCAATCAAACTGACTCTACAATTTCCATATTTATACAGTTGCTTCGGAGCTTCCGAGGGATCATCCCTTTTCCCGATTTTCAGAATCTTTGACCCCCCTTTCAAAATTCCATTTAATTAATTTTCACTCGTCGTTTACTCGTTTAGAGCACATGTATTATTTTTCTTGCGACCATACCCCGCTTTTCATGGAATGTCACGATAATGTCAGATTGAAGTTTCAATGATAATCACCGTGAACACATCAGCGGATGTTTCTAAATTTAATTTTTTACCATTTAATGTTATATGTGGAATTCTGCTTTATTTGGTGCTAGGGGTCACGAATGGAAGTATGCATCCATGAACTGAGTCTGCAACGTTTTCAATTTGGCCGTTTTGAAGGCTCTTAAGGAATTCCAATTCTCACTAGTCCATAGCACGAACGTGTCATATTAAAGTTTAAATGATCATCACGGTATGAACAAATCTGTCGGAACCTTAACTATATCCAAAACACAACACCATAGTTTTTAAAACCAATTTAATGTGCACCCCAAAAAGTCCAATTTGTTGCTTTATTTTAAATTTTAACCAAAATGAAAAATGAATTTTGGGTTTTAAAAAAGTTTTTTTTAAATTTGGGATCAATGAGAAAGAGAACAAAAAATCAAAAAAAGCAAGGGAGACAGTAAAGAAATTTTGTCTTTGGACAAAATCCCGGGCCCTTTTAACGACCCCTTTAAAGATACCGAACAAAAAAAGGGGTGGGGGACAAAAAGGGGGGGGCCCTGGGGGAAAAGAATTTTCTTTTTTACAATGAGTTCGAAAAAGATCATGTAGTTTTTGGTGCTTTTTTAAATTTTAAAACAAAAGATGACATTCAATCAAAGTCCCTAAAAAAAATTTGAAATTGGGAAAAAACACAGAATTCTTTTAAAACGCTAAAATTGTTTCAACATTCAAACAGTTAGGACTGTCGAGTGCATTATATTCACGGCATAAAATGAATGCTTGTAAACACGTCGTATGACGTCATATATAACGTCAATAAACCAAATTACGTTAGGAAAATTTCTCTGAAATGTAGTTCAGCATATTTGCTACCTAATTTTGCGAATTAGAATGGAAATAGGCATTTATTTGCGTTGTTGTCAAATAATACACGGTTTATCGTTCAGATGCTTTGTAATTAATCAATCAGGCCTAACAGCCTGGGTTATAATATTCCAGCACATCTGAACTCGAACCGTGCATTATCTACAACAATGCACTGAAAATTGTAAAATATTTTCTAAATCTTAAACAACAACAACTTGAATATCACTTAAGGTATTTTTAAAACCCCACCCCCCCCCGCCCCCCCCCCCCCCCCCCCCCCCCAAACCCTTGACGTTTTTGGAAAAAATTAGTTTTTCTGAAAAAAAAAAAATTTGAAAATCGAACCCCCATTTATAAAAATTCCCAAATGTGTAGATCTTCAAGAAATTAAAATTTTTAAATTTAATTGCAAAACCCAAACCCGTTTTCTTCATTAATAAGCTTGCTTTAAAACTTAATTTGATTAAATACTATTCCCAAAATATAAGTTATTGTCCGAAAACCATTTTTCTATTTTAGTAACAGTGACACTGACCTTGATTGATTTAAACATATTTTGTTGCTCTTTTTTCACACATTTTTATTTTTTTACATATTATATTATCATAATATAAACACAAGCGTAGCATAAGCTACTCATAAGCTTGCTTTAAACCCAAAATTTTTTAAAACAACATCCCCATTCCCAAAATCAAAGTTATTGTCCCGGAAAAAACCCTTTCTAAAAATTTTTGTAGCAAATTTGGGCCCTTTACCTTGAAACCCCAAAGGGGGGTTTCCCGTTGGGAATTCAACCCGGGCTTTCCCCATAAGGTTTCTAATAAAACCCCCAAATTTTTATTTCAATATTTAAATTAATCCTGGAACCAAAAGGGGAAGACCCCCCGGGCAGACCCCCCCGACAAGCCCCGACTCCTATAATACCCCCAAATTCCTTTGTTTGGGGGTTTAAAAAAAAACAGCAACAAAAATAATATAATCCCCCTAATGTATTAAATAGCTAAAATTGTTTTCCAAAGGCCCAAAGAAAAAGTTTTATTGTAAATTTATCAAATTGTAAAAGGGTTTTTTCCCGTTTAAACATTGAGGGCTTTATATAAATTTTTTAATGAAAAAACTAAATGTACAAAATCATTTTCTGAAAAGCCCCAAGAAAATTTTTTATGTAAAGTCAAATGAAATAAACTGCCATAATTTGACATATTACATCTGATTTAAAATTTTTAAAAGTCCCATTTTTTTTTTACATGTTTATGATAAAGCATCCACACCCAAATAAAATTGGGGAAAATTTTTTTTATTACCAAATTATTTTTATATCATTATATTCTTCAATGCAAACCCGACAGTGACAAAACATAACGAAGCAAAACTTTATTTTCCAAATTTATACCCGGTGTGGAAAACGTAAAACCCCCTTAAAAAAGAGTGTTTTTTTACCCTTTTCAAAAAAGGGATTTCAAAAGTACGGGTATTAATTTTATTATATATTTATAAAATTGAAAAATTTTAAAATACTGAGAAAATAAAATGCAATATTTTTCATTTTGCGTATTTTTTTACTGTTGAAAAATTATTTTTTCACTGCAGTGAAATAGATTATCCGAATTTTCACTGGTAGATTTCAAGACTAGACTAAGTATTTCTTCTGAATATCCCCTATTTATTTTTCAACTTTTTAATGTAAATGTAAATAAGACGTACCGGTATTTCCTGTCTGTGTGCGGTAAGTACATTGAACTTATATTTAAATTCGAATTTAAAATATATTGTCATTAACAATATAACATATCTTTCAAGAAATGTCCCAAACCTGAATTTCTCCAGTTTCTATATCTAAGGAAGAACATAATTGAAAAAAAAAAGAAAAAAAAAAAAAAAAAAAAAAAAAAAAACACAAAAAAAAAAACAAAAAAAAAAACAAAAAAAAAAAAACAAAACAAAACAAAACAAAAAACAACGTAATTCGAGATATAGAGGATCTATATATTTTTAATCTTTTATATCTGCAGTGAGGATATATGTTCAACATCAGATATTTTTCAGGGTTAATGAATTAAGTACATTTGATATATAAAGTTAAGTCAATACATATTTGTTTAGTTGGGTTTTTTTTTTTTTTTTTTTTTTTTTAAAACCGCCTCCGTGGTCGAGGGGTTAGAGTCCATGCCCCCCCCCCCCCCCCCTGCCTCAATTCCTAATCCAGTACCCTCTCTGGCGTGGGTTCGATCCCCGGGAGATGCCTTTGGGTAGTTTAGCGCGGAGGAAGGTTAGTCTAAGTAATGGTGTAACTCTCCAGGAACGATTGGTTAGGAAACTAACCGCCTATAATGATCCTTGGAAATACTTGTTGGAAAAAGGCGTAAAATGAAAACAAACTAAACAAACAAACAAAGTTGGGTTTTTTACAGTCGCATCAAAAATTTTCCCGGAGGTTTTACCCAAATAAGGGGAAAACCTATGGGTTTAATTTTTTTTTGGGACGGGGAGGAGAGGGAAAACCGGGGGTAAATTCCAAATTTTGGGTGGATAGATAGTACCTGGAAAAAGAATTTCCAAAAAAGTAATTTTAAATTTTTAATTTTAAAAAGAAAAAAATTTTAAAACTGCAAAGCCTCCAGAAAGTGAGGCCCAAAATTCCAAAAAAATTTTAAAATGAATAAAATATTAAGTTTTTGTAAACGAAATTTAAATATAAAATTTTCAATTTTGAAACGTTTTTTTGATGATTTTTTCTTTTTATTTAATTTATCATATTTTTTTTTCTCGTGACCCAAAAACAAAAATGGCCCTTTTTGCCAATATTTTTTTTCCTTTTTGGGGAATTTACGGGGGGTTTTTTAAAAATTTCCGGTTTTTCAAATGGGGTTTAAATTTTTTTTTTTTACTTTTAAAATTTTTTTTTCTGAAAAAAAAAAAGAAGGCAAAAAAAGTGGGTTTAAAAAAAATTTTTATCGTTAAATGGGTTTTTACTGCGTTTTTGAAAAAAAAGATATATCTTTCCCTTTTCCCTTGATTAGGTATGGGGTTTTAATTTTTTTTTTTACGTCTTTTTTTTTAAACTCTCCGTCCCTCTGTTCTCCCCAAATGGGGTAATATGCAAAACATTTAACTACATCTTTTTAAACGCAGACAAACAAAATGCTATAATATAGTTTTAAAATTTGCTTCTTAAAATTAATTAGTTTTTGAAAGGGGAGACGAATTTTTTTTTGGGGGTCATTACAAAAAAAAGCCTCCGGGTTTTTATGAATTTCAAATGTAAAGATATTGGATTATCTTTACCACATTCGGTTTTGACCCCGATTTGTTTTAATTTTGGATAAAACCAAAGGCGAAAGTTATAAAGGGGACGAAATTTTTTTCGTAAAGGGGCACTTCAGGAGTATCAAAAAATGAAAAGAAACCCAAAAGAAATTTAAAGGAGTCGTGTTTTACAAAATTTTCTTTAACGCTCAATTAATTAAAGTCAAAATTAAAACTTCCAAAGTTTTGTGTTTTTGTTTTTAACGCGAAAAAATATTTGTTGTGCGTAGGGAAAAACCCTTATTTAAAAATTTCTTTTTTAAAAAATGCCCCACGTCTAAATGAAAAACCTATTCGTAAAGGTATTATATTCATTTTCATAAAGCTTTTTTATACAAAAATCGCAAAACCCCAAAATTTTGAAAGAAACCCAAATTCAAGTATATGTATACAACAATATCAGAATTAAGATGTAATAAGCACAAACTCTGTTTTACAAACTAAACAGTTTGAATATCTTCAAACGTAGTTTTATTAATGCTGTATTGTTGTTTATCAAGTACTCAAAACTATTAGACACGTAGTTTCAAAGATTTAGCAAAGAATAATCATAATAATTTACTAGCTACACACTTACAGTAACGAGACACTTCTACCTTCCTACATCAACTGTATAGGGACATTGTCTGCGGAATGTCCCGAACAGTTTGCCGATGTGGCTGATTCGTTAAGAAACAAGATGAGCATGTTTTGTGACGGCAATGGCGTCTCTGAAGGGCTCCAGTCAGGTTTGTAATAATTGATCACTTTGTAGACTATAACTTACATTTTATAATTTATCGTTATAGCGTCTCCTAATATAGCACACTATAGAACAGTTAAATGGTACAGTTTCCAATGAACTAGTATGTATGAATTTATCATCCTTTAAATAGCCATACGCTGTACTTAAATTTATATTTTTATGAAAAACATACATGTAGCTGTACAATGTATTTCTCAGTTTTACGTTTGAGTTTTTCATTTTGCATATCTTATTACTCATACACATTATTTATAATATCTGCAATGTTACCCAGGCTTTAATAGGAGAAATCTTGTCATATTCATTTACATACATAGGAAAATATACTGCGAATTGATAAAATTTTGTATAATTGTGTCAATATGTATAATCACAAATACTGATTTTGAAAATCTATAATCCTTATTTAGCGATGAACAGCGGGTTTTCATTTAATCTGAATTGCTCTGCTGTTATGGATGGGGTATTTATGGAATGTGCGAGAGAACTGGACATTTATAAGAAAATCCCAGGACCCAATATCACCTTTGCAGTTGCAGCAGAAATCCTTCCACCAAGCGTACATTTATGTTATAAACATTCAATATTTAAACTATGTCAAATTAAAGATGGTCAATATGATGCCAGAGTCTCTTCAAATGTGATTATTTCAATTAAAAAACTATAAAACGGTAAAAATAACATCATAGTTATTTATAGGCGGTTACATACAGTTAGAATATATAACCTTTAGTATGTTTAAGCAAAATTGCAAATATATATATCATTTACTCCCTGTCATTCTTCATATTTGATAATAGTTAAAGTAGTAAGTTTGCCCATCTCCCACTTTACCTGCCCTTGTGCCCTGTCCCACTCATTGTTCGTTCACTGCCCTGCTTGGTGATCCTATGGTCCGAGATACGACAGAGGCTGTTTTCTAACAACGTATTATTTCTTTGTTGATCTATGTTCTCTTTTTTAAATGCATATGACAATAACATTATTGTGTGAACAAGTTCAATTAACGATTGTAAGATTTGACACAAACTACCTCCTAATGAAAGATGCAAAATCTTTGTATTTGTTTAATAAATATGCGTTATCTTAACATGTTTCATCACAGTTTTCTTAATATTGTAAGTTAAAGTTTCAAGTTTGTCTTGAAGTACACTTTTCATTTATCAATACTGTTTATCATTGAAGGGTTATTAGCGAGTTATTTCACTGTTCAAAGAGGCAACTTGAACTTACACCAACGCAGAGTAACGGATGTGACAGCTCTTGGCGAAACATTCTGCTTAACCTATGGTTAAAAATGCAGTTAATGGGGAGCATTTTTGTCAATTTGTCTCATGAAGATGCACAAGAACTTCTGGTAAATTTGAACTAAATGAACATTTAACGCCATATAGTTAGAAGTTAGTTATAGAAGTCCGGTCATAATTCTCATAACAAAATAATGTTTGAAATAGTAATGAAAAATCCTCGTATATTTTGTTTTGCCGGTGAAATGACTAGTTAACATTAATTATAATTTATTTACGCAAAAAACCTCAGATCTTATTATTATGGTAATCTAATCTAATAAATGGTGATTGCATTAAAGTTATTTATTTGAGTATTAATAGTACATATGATTTGTAATTTACTAACGAAGGAACCTTAGATTATATAGAACAAATTTAATGGTGTCTGCATTAAAGTTATATGTCCGTACCCGACAACGAAAGCTGCATTTTGTAGCCTTACGAGCGGATGGACCATCAAAGAGGTGATTCCCGCTTTGTCAGTCAAGTTTGTGTGCAATGTGAAAGCAGGCCCAAATTCATATAACAATAAAGCTCACAGTACACTTCCAATTCTATGTTTTAAAGACTATTTTAAACAAAAATAAAAATGATAATAAGACATTCACCTTGAATTGGCTACATTTCTGAAGACCAAAAACATTCTGTTGCAAATCTTTATGCACATTTTCATGAATGGCAAAATCCAGTTTAAAGTCTCTTTTAGTGCAAACAAATGCTATTTTTGCAGAAAATACAAAAAACATTAAAACACATAAATCTTAGGAAAGTAGTTTGTCAGACCTTGAAAAAACATGGCCCCCACGACATGTGTAAAAAAGTAGTACCATGAAAATAAACATCATTTACCTATTTCCTATGTACATGACAAACAGACACACTTCACTTTTACACATAAAAAGGTTAGATTTTAAAGTTTGATTGTGTTTTCATTTTAATTGTAGTTCATAAGGCTGTAAAATTAATGATGATTGTTTTCTTGCACTACTTTTTTACGTGAAAAAAATAATGGAGGCCATGTGCTTAGAAGGACATCAGATAACTGATTTATTTGAGTTACATTTTGAAAGATTTTTGTATTTGCTGCAAAAAATAGCTTTTGTTTTGGCACTAAAACAGACTTTTAAAAAGGATTTTGCATTTATGAAATGTGCATAAAACTTTGCAACAGAATGTTTCTGGTCTTCAGAAAATGTAGCACATTCAAGGTAAATATTCTTATTGTTATCATTTTTATTTTTTGTTTATAATTGTCCTTAAAATATAAACCTGGAAGTGTATTTTCAAAAGGTTCATCATTTTACAATAAGAGCTTTGTTGTTATATGAATTTTGGCCTACTTTCACTTTGGACAGACTTTAGTTAAAACAAACATGGCTGACAAAGCGGAATCACCTTAAGCATAGGCTATAGATAGATATCATGACAACAACAGAAACTTTGATCTGCAGTTTGAACATGAAGTGTAATGTTTTTTATGAATGGTTTTAAAGCAATTCTACAAAAAATTATATAATGATCTCCCTAAAAATTAATAAACAATAGTTTTTTATATATTATCAATGTCAAATAGCTTTCACATCTTTGTCTCGCACGAATATGATATTAGTGAATTTCCTCATACCTACCTAAAATTCAGGTAACAGTCTTTTATTATATTGATAAATACTGTATCACCATGTAACGCGTGTATAACAAACAAAAAAGATCCTGAATTTGGTCTTTTGGAAATTCATCCCATTTTTTCATTCCAGAGTGTGTTCTACTTTCAGTATTGAAAGAAACCATTTTTTTTTTAATTTGACATGAAAAATGTGCATGTAATATTACTATATTGTAACATTAGTCCCTTTGTTACTTTTTGTATATTTCTTACAATTATAACAGACTTTGATATTTCTATCATCTATCTTCTGTTACTGAAACAGAACACAGTACAGCCATGTCACATAACATTTACAAGTCTTGTAAGTCTTGTTTGTGTTCAATGGAATTACTTTACTTACCAGGTAGGCATCAGTGAAAGCATTTTTTACATTAAATACTTTTCCCCTCTTTTTAATTATGGACAGTGCATAAGATAAGTATAATTATGCAAAAAAAAGTTTACAAAACATTCGGAAAGATTCTACAATAGTACTTAATCTGAATATAACATGACCTGTGCGTAGGAATAATTTTGTAAGGTATCTGTAATGAGCACATTTTTTTTGCGCGGAGCTTCTCAATTGCTGCATTGCTGCAACATTTGTACTTGTTTACAATGTCTTCGCCCGTTAATGAGCAGATTATGGAAACCTAATTTACAATTAATGGCATTCATTTATTACTATGAGTGTTATATTTTTCAGGCTCTAGTAAGTGACTATGGAGGAACAGAAATCCTGATTTAGTAATTCGCACAAGACTTTTTTTAAAGATGGCTGACACAATATTATACAAGATCAAGAATCGTCACCACTTTTTGCTTTATTCAGACCAAATTGCCAAATATATTATGACTTTTATTTCTATATTATAACCTAATACAAAAGTCACGGTACAATAAATAATTTGTTCTCTTTTTCTTTTAAAATATACAATAGAAAATTTGTTTGGTGGAATAAAGTATTGGTCTGAAAATGAATTCGACTTTCATGAAAGTGATATACGGAACATACTACGAACTTAATAGTTCCCATAAGAATACCCTCTGGAAATGAATTGTTCCAGATAATTATAATGAGATTATGATGATATGTGTTGTTTTTTTCTTTCAAATGTTTCTATTTCTTAACAAACTGTTGATTTTTTAATATTTTGCAAAGAAATATAATCAACAAATTTTTAAACAAAAAACTAGAACTATCACTTAATGTGATTAATACCCCCCGTAAAGACTGCTTCGGAAATGAGGATGTTACTAGTAACAGAATACCTTGTAAAGAATTGAAATAGAGTTATGGTTGTGGGCAATTAAAGATAGTTGTGGTTCTTGTATGTTGCATTTCCTTTCAATGTGGTTGGCCATTGATGAAGGTTTATTGGATTACTCTGTAATAAGTCCAGAAAGACAAGGAAAAGGAACAAAGGGCAATAACTCTATAAATACTGAAGATTGTTATTGTACACTGCACTTCCTCTCATTGCGCTTGACCATTGTATGAAGTTGTATTTAATTCCAACTACTAGTTTTCAAGTTATGCACTGGACAAAAAAAGTAATAAAGGCAATAACTGTAATTAGTCCAAATAGAGTTATCGTTCTTGTGCACTGCACTTCAACTCACTGCCCTTGACCATTGTATAAAGTTTCATTGAATTCCAACCATCAAGTTTCAAGTTATGCACTGGACAATAAGAAGTAACAAAGGGCAAAAACTTTTAAACTAGTGAAAAAAGAGTTATGGTTTCTGTGCACTGCACTTCCTCTCAATACACTTGACCATTGTATGAATTAGTTTTGAATTCCAACTAGTAGTTTCCAAGTTATGCTCTGGACAAGAAAAAAAAAACGTGGTAAAGTAACAAAGGGCAATAACTCGATAATTACTCTGGACAGAAATATAGTTCTTGTACTTGACCATAGTATGAAGTTGTTTTGAATTCCAACCAGTAGTTTTTAAGTTATGCTCCGGGCAAGGAAAAGTGACAAAGGGCAGTTACTCTGTAATTAGTCAAAATGGAGTTATGGTTCTTGTGCACTGCACTTCCTCTTACTGTGCTTGACCATTGTAAGAAGTTGTTTTAAATTCCAACCAGTATGTTTTAAGTTATGCTCCGGACAAGGAAAAGTATCAAAGGGCCAATAATTCTGTAATTTGTCAAACTGGAGTAACAATTCTTCTGCACTGCATTTCCTCTTAATGTGCGTGGCAACTGCATGAAGTTGTATTGAATTCCAACCGGAAGTTTTCAAGTTATGATCCGGAAAGGGAAAAGTAACAGGGCAATAACTCTGTCATTAGTCAAGATGGAGTTATGGTTCTCATGCACCGCACTTCCTCTCAATGTGTTTGACCATTTCAAGTTATATTGAATTCCAACCATTAGTTTTCAAGTTATGATCCGGACAAAAAAGCAATGGAAAAGTAGCAAAGGGCAATAACTCTGTAACTCTGTATGGAGTTTTGGTTCTTAAGTATGGCACGTCCTCTTATTGTGCTTGACCATTGTATGAAGTTGTTTTGAATTCCAACCAGTAGTTTTCAAGTTATGCTCTGGACAAAGGGCAGTAACACTGTAATTAGTCAAAATGGAGTTATGGTTCTTGTGCACTGCACTTCCTCTTACTGTGCTTGACCATTTTAAGAAGTTGTTTTAATTCCAACCAGTATGTTTTAAGTTATGCTCCGGACAAGGAAAAATATCAAAGGGCCAATAATTCTGTAATTTGTCAAAATATGTAACAATTCTTCTGCACTGCATTTCCTCTTAATGTGCGTGGCAACTGCATGAAGTTGTATTGAATTCCAACCGGAAGTTTTCAAGTAATGATCCGGAAAAGGAAAAGTAACAGGGCAATAACTCTGTCATTAGTCAAGATGGAGTTATGGTTCTCATGCACTGCACTTCCTCTCAATGTGTTTGACCATTTCAAGTTATATTGAATTCCAACCATTAGTTTTCAAGTTATGATCCGGACAAAAAAGCAATGGAAAAGTAGCAAAGGGCAATAACTCTGTAACTCTGTATGGAGTTTTGGTTCTTAAGTATGGCACGTCCTCTTATTGTGCTTGACCATTGTATGAAGTTGTTTTGAATTCCAACCAGTAGTTTTCAAGTTATGCTCTGGACAAAGGGCAGTAACACTGTAATTAGTCAAAAGGAGTTATGGTTATTGTGCACTGTACTTCTTCTCAATGTGCTTGACCATTGTATGAAGTTATATTGAATTCCAACCATAAGTCTTCAAGTTATGCTCCGGACAAGGAAAATGCCACGGACAGCTGGACCGACGCACCGACCGACCTATCAACCGACCGACCACAGGGTGACTCCTATCCCCCCCCCCCAAAAAAAAACAACTTCGTTTTTGGGGGTATAATCATTTTAGAAAAACATATATGGCTGTCATGATGTCTTATAATATATCAGTAACAGATCATGGCTGGTATAATCATCACACAGAAATTGCTGGGAAAAAATTAATGAAAATATATGCCAGGAAATATTAAAACAATATATTTTATTAAAATATATGATTTTCTTTGTGTTAATACAATAAAAAAATGAGCAAAACATATAACATCATTAAAATGCAAGTAATACAAAATCATAGTCACAAAAAGTTTTTTTTGCGCGCGCACAAACACAGGTACACGAACGCACACACATATTTCAAATCCATAAATACCCGTTCAATATCAACAACTATACATAATTCCAATATAATGCACACATATACAGAACACATACATTTCAATGTATTTTGTATGATTTCAAAGTTCGTCACAATCATATCAGCCACAATTTTACAAGTTAATTTGAAAATTGATACCAATTTACGGTAAAAAAAGAGTGACAGAAAGAATAATAAGTAAAAAAACTTTAAAACTAAAAAACTAAATTTATTCTTAAAATCCAAATATCAAATATACAAAAATTACAAAATATTTACAATACTTGAAAATTAAATGATAAAGAATAATCTCAATTTTTGACAAATAAAATTGTTTGATATAGTTAACAATTGTTTGATATAGTTAACAAATGTCCACGTAATTTGTTATACATGTATTTCCTTACACAAGTCTGGAAAAAGGTTATATTATATTCCCGCAAATGGTTGAAAAGAGCTGAATAAATTTCTCACAAAGTATAATAATATATAAACCTGAGATTAAAAATCACTGAAATAAGTTTAATCTTACAATGTTACCTAAAATATCTAAAGATAGTCGTTACAGAAATGCTTTTATATTTATACATGAAAAGAAAGTTTCAAGAACTTGCTAATCTACATGATTTTAAATACTTTATGATCATTTTAGAAATTTGTACAGAAAAATCGTTGTTTCGTTTTACCCATTTATATCATTAAGTGATAAATTATAGAATTATTGTCTTAACTGACCCCCTCTTTTCTATGCTTATGTGATTGACAAGTGTGTACGGGACACAAGAAATGGACACCATACAGGGACTCAATCAAACTGACTCTGCAATTTCCATATTTATACTGTTGCTTCGGAGCTTCCGAGGGATCATCACTTTTCCCGATTTTCAGAATCTTTGAGCCCCATTTCAAAATTCCATTTAATTTAGTTTCACTCATTGTTTACTCGTTTAGTACACATGTGTTATTTTTCTTGCGACCATACCCCGCTTTTCATGGAATGTCACGATACTGTCACATTGAAGTTTCGATGATAATCACCGTGAACACATCAGCGGATGTTTCTAAAATTCAAATTTTTACCATTTAATGTTATATGTGGAATTCTGCTTTATTTGGTGCTAGGGGTCATAGACGGAAGTATGCATCAATGAACCGAGCCTGCAACGTTTTCAATTTGGCCGTTTTGAAGGCTCTTAAGGAATTCCAATTCTCGTTATTCCATAGCACGAACGTGTCGTATAAAAGTTTTAATGATCATCACGGTATGAACAAATTTGTCGAAACCTTAACTATATCCAAAACACATCACCATAGCCTAGCACCATTTTATGTGCACACATTTGATGTATGTTTTTTATTGGTATCGATAGAATGAGAACACATATCAAGAAAGCAAGTAAGACAGTAAAGAATTCTGTCTCTGACAAAATCCGGCCATATACGACCCTTAACGGTACCGAACAAAAACAGGAGTGGGCACAAAGGGCGGGGCATGGAGAGGGAATGTTCTTTGTTACAAACACATCCTACAAAGAGTTCAGACCGGATATTATATATAGTTATGGCTCATGTTGACATCCAGTCATGTCCGTAAACATTCGAAATTGAAAATACACAACATTCTAACAAGCTTCACATTGTTCCCTATTCAAACAGATAGGACTGTCGAGTTTATGAAAAGGAATGGTAACACGTTGTATAACGTCAGATATGACGTCAATAAACCAACTTACGTTAGGAAAATTTCTCTGAATTGTAGTTCAGCACATTTTCTACCAATTTTTTTTTTATAAGCTCTATTGTTGGAATGGAAATAGATATTTATTTGCGTTGTAGTAAAATAATGCACGGCTTATCTTTCAGATGCTTTGTAATCAATCAATCAATCAATCAATCAATCAATCAATCAGACCTAATGACCTTCGTGATTATATTCCTGCACATTACAACCCGAACTGTGCATTATTCTACAACAATGCACTCAAATTTGATAACTATTTCCTAAATATAAAATAACAACAACAACAACAACAATATAATAACATAATGTCTATATAATAGCTAAAATGTGTTTTCATGGCACATGAACCGTTTATTGTAAATTATCAAATTGTAAACGTAAGTCTTGGCTAGAAAATAATGTTTTTTCCTGCTTTATCATATGAGTCATTTATATAAATTGTCAAATTGTGAAATAAGTTAAATGTACAAAATAACGTTTTCTGAATGCCACAAGAATTATTTATGTAAATTCAAGTGAAATATCTGCTCACTATAGACATATTACATCTGATAGCATTTCAAAATGTCTATTTTTTATATATCGTTTATGATGAAAGCATCCACAACAAGTAATTGGTATCATTTTGTTATTACCGTTATATTATCATCATTATATATCTTCAATGCAGCCACATATATTTTTGACAGTAGACAAATATTAAACAAGCAAAACATATATTCTCCATATAACTTTATACGGTGTGAGACGGTAAACGCTTAACAAGCAGTGTTTTGACGGTTTCAAAATGGGATTTCAATGTACGGGTATTAATATTTATTATATATTTATAAATTAAATATTGAGAAATACTGAGAAAATAAAATGAATATTTTCATTTTGCGTATTTTTACTGTTGAAAAATATTTTTCACTGCAGTGAAATAGATTATCCGAATTTTCACTGGTGTTTTGCTAGACTAAGTATTTCTTTTGAATATCCCCTATATATTTTCAACTTTTTAATGTAAATTGTAAAATACCGTATTTCTGTTTGTGTGCGGTAAGTACATTGAACTGATATTTAAATTCGTTTTTAAATATATTGTCATTAACAATATAACATATCTTTCAGAATGTCCAAACCTGAATTTCTCCAGTTTCATATCTTAGGAAGAACATATTGAAAAAAAATTACCGTGTGGTTTATGAGTTATGAATATATTTCTGAACTAAAACTTTGCTATTAGAAGGGCTTTTTTTCAGAAATGATCTATAATATCATCATTATGAAAAATGTTTTCATATTGCTCATTGTAAGAAACAAATAATGACACCCAGGTAACAAATTACACGTGCAAAATTATTGTTTCTAAACAAAATGTTTTACACATCATATGTATAAAAATGTTACCCTATCCCACCCACTTTTAACATTATTTTGATGACAATTTCCCTGTATAAAAAGCCTTATTCAAAATATCCCTTAAATTTACCACAATGAGAGACTGTTTTCAAAATTTGCCTAAATTTTCTTTAATGTATATTGTTTGATCATGCGAAATATAAAATACTTTTACCGTGTAGTTTTTATTTTATTAAACTTTGAAAATATCTGGTATCATAATTATATGCTATTGAATTTGGAATTATTTAGCAATGCATTACCCATGGTCTACCTTAACTAACCTTTGTTGTTTCGATTGCAGACGAAGTTTTGTTGTTTCTTGTGCTGTTCTATATACAACAAATACATTGCATGCCGGGTACATTTCCTGATGAACCTTTCAACTGTAACAGATATATGGATTATGCTTTACACGACTGGTCGTGTAGACCTGACGACTTGTTCGATATGCTGGATGACGATAAACTAAAAGACGATGTTATCACTGGAGACGAATTTCTTCTTGAAACAAGGGCACGTTGCAGGTAGTATCAATAAATATAAATGATTACCTAAGAACAATAATGGAGTCATTTTTTACAAATATATTTAACGCTTCCAAAAGTTTATGTTATTGTTCTACCGTCGATAATTATCTTGTTGTGCGCAGTAACCGTTAAAACATTTCATTTTTCAAGCGTGCGCGACGTCTAAATGAATCCTATTCGTAACAGTATTATATGTCTATCTCGTATACGCTTGTTATACAAAATCGCACACCATTTAGAAAGAATACAACACTACAAGTATATGTATATAACAATATCAGAATTAAAATGTAATAAACACAAATTCTGTTTTACAAACTGAACAGTTTTGGACTATCTTCAATTGTAGTTTTATTAATGCTGTTTTGTTGTTTATCAAGTACTCAAAACTAATAGAACACGTAGTTTCAAAAAATCACTGAAATAAGTTTAATGTTACCTAGAAGATCTAAAGATAGTCGTTACGGAAATGCTTTTATATTTATACGTGAAAAGAAAGTTTCAAGAACTTATCTACATGATTTTAAATACTTTATGATCATTTTAGAAATTTGTACAGAAAAATCGTTGTTTCGTTTTACCCATTTATATCATTAAGTGATAAATTATAGAATTGTTGTCTTAACTGACCCCCTCTTTTCTATGCTTATGTGATTGACAAGTGTGTATGGGACACAAGAAATGGTTACCATACAGGGACTCAATCAAACTGACTCTGCAATTTCCATATTTATACTGTTGCTTCGGAGCTTCCGAGGGATCATCCCTTTTCCCGATTTTCAGAATCTTTGAGCCCATTTCAAAATTCAATTTAATTTAGTTTCACTCATTGTTTACTCGTTTAGAGCACATGTTATTTTTCTTGCGACAATACCCCGCTTTTCATGGAATGTCACGATAATGTCACATTGAAGTTTCAATGATAATCACCGTGAACACATCAAAGTTTAAATCATAAGTTTACATCATAAAGTTTTAATGATCATCACGGTATGAACAAATCTGTCGGAACCTTAACTATATCCAAAACACATCACCATAACCTAACACCATTTTATGTGCACACCT